AACTACACATGTAGCACCGACCTCCTGTGAATCATTACTATTCTGACCACATGTCAACATAGCAGCTGACTTAAGCTGAGGCTTGAAACTTTTATAACGCTTAGGACAACTGACAGCACAGTGATTTGGATCACCACAAGCAAAACAGCCTGACTTAGGCTTAGACTGATCAAATCGACCCTGTCCTTTACCTTTCAGACTTGTGTTCCAGAACTGTTCTTTCTGATTCTGACTACCACCTTGAAACTAGCTAGATTTCTGATTTTTAACACCTGTATGTCTACGTGCATCTCTAAACTTATTTCTTTAACTGACTTGGGTGACCTTTCACCTATGTAAATAGACAACTCATTACCAAAATTACTCATCAATTGATCTCTCACCACTAAGTCCTTGGCTCCATCAAAACTCTTATCAACTTCAGACAGCTCTACCCATCGGTCAAAATAACTACTAATCTAGCTGCAAATTGCGAAATGCTCTTGCCACCTTCTGCCCTACTAGCTCGAAATGTTTCTATAACCTTCTTCATTCATATTCTAACCCTTCAACAAAGCTGCCTTACAACATTGTAATCTATGGACTCTGCCACAGACAATGCAGAAAACACATAACAAGCTTTGTCTGTCAATAATGCACTAAGATTCATAACCCAACTATCATGCGGACATTTCTGAGTTGCAGCAAATCACTTGAATCTTAAAATAAATGCATCCATCTCATCCATAGTCTCATCAAACAAAGGTAGCTTTGGAACCTTAGAACTAACAATGGACTGTGCCAACTGTTCTAAGCCTCCATTTTGCATGTAATCTCAACACTTCAAGTTCATGCTGTCTTATTTTCTCTTTCTCCATTGACTCATGTTCAATTCTCAACCTTTCAGCCTCATGTTTGGCTGCTCTCTCATCCCTCTACTCACGCTCTCTTTCTTTTCTCTCTTCTCATGCTCTGCCCTCACAAATTGAGTCAGACCTTCTCCCTCATACCCCAATTCTCTACCTAACTCTTTAAGTTCTCTAACAATATCCATGCTTGAAAAAGTGTAATTCAAGTTCCAGTAATATTAAATAAAGCAATCTAATGTCTACCTAGCAGTACAAGCTGGTCTGACAACACAGTGTTCACTAGACCTTAAGCAGTTATGAAACAGTCAATTTAGTCAAGGGATTACTGACATTAAAATCCAAATCAGCATCACAATCAGAATCACAACCCAACTTCAGACACCAAAATGTCAGTGTAAGGCCTGCTTATCGCAATTGAGAGGGCCACCCACAGAACTCACACTGGACAGAGGGTTCTTTTACTGCTAGAATGGGGTGGACAAGACAATAGTACTGGAAATAAAATACACATACACCAAAATATCAAGTTAAAGCTCCTGGCTTTAATACCTCTCAAAATAATTACAAGAAATAAAGCACAGAAAATACAATGAATAAAGTCATTAAAACAGGGGATTGCTTAGGGAAGTGTGCCTTGATGATAACTCACAGTTCCAGGATTTAAAAAATGGACGACAGTCAATGGTTTCTGCAATACAACAATGAAGAAATACAGGAGTCTTGATTGCAGAAGAACGCTGCTATTCTGGAGGTCACCGCTGGAAGCATGAGATCGCAGAGCAGTTCATACAAGTCTCACAGAATGATGGTTGTAGCCTGTATCACTTGTCACACATATCATATCGTAGCAGCACACAGAGAATACTAAGTTGAAATGATGGACCCAAACTGTCCTCGGTCTGTCCAATTTATATGCATGATTCAGTTACACCACCTGGGTTTCTTGCAGGGTCCAAGGTAATAAGACAAAAACATAAAATAAAGGATGCTGACAGACAAAAATATTCATCAAAATTGGGGAATTGAAGATAACATCAAGAAATGAACAAATCTGAGAGAGGTCTACCTGAGGTACCTATATGTAATATCAAATCAAACGAACTTGCAGTTTTTAACAAGTCGAAAATATCACTTTTTATCAAAAATCTTCACCAAAATTAAAAAATTGAAGATATCATCACGAAAGGAACAAATCTGAGAGAGGTCCATACGTAGTGCCTATATATGCAATATCAAAGCAATTGGACCTGCTGTTTTCAACGAGAAGTCGAAAATATCACTTTTTACCATAAATGACATAAATATTCATCAAAATTAGAGAATTGAAGATATCATCATGGAATGAACAAATCTAAGTGAGGACTTCCCAAGGTACATATACAGCATTATCAAATATACAACAGTATCAAAGCATTCAGGTTTGTAGTTTTTCAAGAGGAAGTTGAAAAGGTAAAACATTGACACGAACGATGACAGACAATCACTCATATAAGCTCCGCTCGAATAAAGTCGACAACGGAGCTAAAAAATCATAACTTCCACAAAAATGGAGATATCTTCACCATATGAACAAATTTGTGAAAGGATCAGTCCATGTGTCCAAATTATGAATTTCAAAGCAATGTAGCAGGTGGTTTTCGAGAAGAAGTCGAAAATGCACAAAAATGAGCAAAATAAATACAAATTTCAGAACAATATGACAAGTGGTTGTGGGAAAATGATTTTTAACCATAAATGACAAAAATACTCCAAAAAAATATAGGTTTACACGTGATGTCATGAAATTAACAAATCTGACAGAGGAACATCCCAGGTAGGTGTGATATGAATAGCAAGGCAATCCAGCTGATGGTTTTGTGGAAGAAGCAGTTTAAATGGAAAAAGTGGACAGATGGCGTACAACGGACAGGTATCGTCAACCTATGAGCTCCGCTCTGTCATCTTCGATGATAGCAGAGCTAAAAATGGAACAAACTCATTCTTCATTCCAAGCCGCATTTTCTCGGTCATTCCTGGACTGATTTTGTTCAACGTTGTTACAGAAATGTTAGGTTGTTATCACGTTTTTTTTGCCATTATTGTCCAAAGAAACACAAATAATCAACATCTAACATCAAGCATTTCTCATCCATGCCTGGGTCAATTTCATTCGGCTATATTGTTTTTGTGTGTTCTCAGACGATTTTTGTTTTCATTTTTATAACCCTTGGCTAATGAGTGGCCAAGGTCAATGTCATCAACCTATAGGGAGGATTGTCCAGTCTGGTTTCATTTCAACTGGCAGCCATTTAAACAAAATTTGAGCATGTCATCAATCATTCCTCAGGTGGTCTGTAGTCTCCTCAATATCGTTGCTTTAACTCAATATAGACTTGGGTGAGGCACTTGGTCTGTGCTAATGTTAAGTATCCTCACCATGCTGATCATGCACAATAATAATTCAAGCAATCAACTAAATGAGGCAATTTATTGACAGAATTCATTCAACCATGCCATAACCTCCTTATTCAATCACCATTTATTGTGGACACCCCCTCTCCCCGGTAATGTATCCCAATGTTAGAAATATAAATATACAATATTTTACAGCATGCACACGTAATTCACTATTGGAATTGGAAGGCCAATCAACCTTGTACCATATTTCAGAAATGGTTCAAGGTTGGTATTGAGTCATGTTATGTTGTCTGCAAAAGTGTCTATTGCCAAGAAATTCGCATTCACACACTAAACATTAGAGTGACTAGTCTGCACAACATTACCTCAACAGACTTTGGTCAATCAATGATGTTTTGTGCATCCACTACTCGCATCCGTCATCAACTGTCAGGTCACACACTACTCTAATTTGAGCCATAAAGATTGCTCAAACATTTCTGCTCACAATTTATCACGTACAGACAGGCAGTTCTATTACTTCACAGTGACATGAAAGTATAGGAATGTTTTGTAGGACAGAGGTTAGCATAATTACAATAACAAAAGACTACTAAATTAAATAGTAACGATCAATGCATACGCACTAGTAAATTGTAAGCATTTTCTTTTCAAACTTATTGGATGTTCTCTATTCATATCATATCATTGTAAACACTTTTAATGTTGTGTTAACACTAGTTTTGGTACAGGTTCTGGGATGTACTTTACGGAAGCTGGACCTATCTGCCCATCAAGAGCGGCTGACTGTATGTAACAAGACTAACTGGGTAAATGAATATTACATGCTTTGTAACGCCCTAAAACCATGTATGAGTTTGCTTGGGTGTGTCGCGGAATCTGATATTAACACTAATAATGATGACGGTATGCTTTCGAATATAACTTCAAAGTTGGTGTACACAAATTGACATATTTGGAGGAAAAGATGTATGTACACGACTTATGACAGAAAACTGTCAAATTTTATTTTTAAATTTATTCATGATTCGTTGTTGAAGACAGTCTCCATATATTCTATAATTGTATTGATGTACGGAATTTTTGGGGCAAAATCAGATGTTTTATCTTTATCTACTTTGGCACTGACGTAATGTTAAACATGAGAACACTTATTACTGGAACAAACATTAATTATCGACCAAATTCTAACTATTGCCATGCACTCTCTCTAAGAGATGATGCCAAAATAAATGCGACCCAAGAACGAATTTTGCGGCCTACTGAATTCAGAGTTGGCACAAGGCCAGTCAAATATCAACACTATCATTTTTTGCAGCACTTCATGCATCATAGATTTTCAAACATTTTCAATCACGTAATTAATTTCAAGAAAATGAAGACTACTTAAAGGGGCACTTTAAGTTAAGTCTAATCTCACAACAAATTTACTTTATGGATTAAAATGACAATGGATAACAAAAGATAGATTACCGTGGTAAACAACATAAATAGTGTCCCATGATTCTTTGGTGCAATCCCTGGGTTTGGAAGTTTTCCCATTAAGCTTAGTTTTCACATCACATTTCATGTAACATTACACCTGTGTAGGGTCATTTTGGCAAGATTTGGTTATTCTTATATAGTCATTTTTTAAACAAAACATTCATCACAACCACTGTCGATTTAAATTAATAAACAATAAGAATACATTTTTTGTTTAAATAAGTACCCCTCTCTTCTGAATAAAAGTAATGAAGTAACACACAAACCGAGTTAACAATATTCCGAGTCATCAGATGTACTCAGTATTTATTCTGTACGCTGTACATGATTTGAATTGAAATGACAACAAAGCACAAGTAAAATGAGTCCAGCACATAACGAATGTCTGTCATTTGAAACAAGAAAAACATAATTAAAACCATAAAGCAGATAAAATTTTAAAAATGACTTTGAAAACATAATCAACTGTTGCAATTTGTACAAGAGTTCATGATAGCATGCATTTACTTTTTATAAATCTGCCATTCTTGATGCGTTAACACTTACTTGATTGAATATTGTTCACTTTGATAAAGTTCCCAGCCTAAATTTATTATCCCTGAAGTTATAGGTGTTTTTTTCCAGACTCAACTGCAATATTAGACAGCGAGAACTCACCTCAGTGCTTGTTTACTGTATATTTTAATCACAATTTTATGCTGAATGATACTACAATGTATTACAGTATTTTTAATACGATCCAAGGGGAGCATATCAATGAAAAAAGTCGTCCTCAGAGTGCCAGATCATGATCTCCATAATTATTAACAAGGTAAAAAAATCAGGTTGCAGCAACAAGGTATTAGTAAACATGATTCAAACATATTTCATAACATGATTTTTTTTAAAAACATGAGTAATTATTACACAGCCAGTTATATATCTGACACAAGTGATGCAACTTGGATTGAATACAGAAAATATACCAAGCTAGGGAGTCTTTGCGTCAGGTCTGCCAAAAACTCCCTAACTGAACTGTCATGTTTGAGAAATAAAATACAGCTTTTAGGAGAAAAAAAAAAAAATTACTGGTATATAATCAACCCATTACTGTTCATATTTATGTGCTGCTTGTTTTTTAATCAATAATTCATTTTGGAGGCATGAAGTAAAAATGGGCATGTCGTTGATCAAATAATACTGATGAAAAGTTTAGCAAGGTCATTCATGCAAAATATTAGGAAACAAAGATTATAAAATAACAGCTGACATGTACAGAACTTTGAGGTCAGGAAGAGAGCGAGGTTATTTATCATTTTATAACCAACTTCTAACATGGGTATGATCAATCACACAAAGCCTGTCTGGTTGAACATACGTTAATTTCGCTATTAGTTATTTTCAGTTTCAGTGTGGATTCCAAAAAAAACATAATTAACATATGATCGATGCGACATTGAATACAAATTAAACAACAATTGACATTCATATTAAAAATTTATACATTCTGTTGATTAGAATATGGGCATCGAGCAATTGGTGAAAACGACCAGCCATGTTAGAAGTATCATAATCAGCTTACCTGTAAATCAACCTCAACGGAACAGTGCAGATAGACAAATTTTACAAATTCCCTACTGATTCATGACCGTTTCGACAACATATTTTATACATTGTTTTTGTTTTTTCTGGACTTGCCATTAGCAATGTTTTTTGGAAAATCATATTTACCGACATGTAAACCAATAATAATCTTCAATGGCAGTTAAGTGTAGCAAATATGTACACTTACAAGTACGGGATATTCCTGGTTTTATAAATACAACATATACCACAGATAAAAACAAACTTAATATCTTTCCGTAGAAAACCTCCAGACATTATTCTTGAGAAGAAAAAATGATGAAACTCAATAAGCTTTGAAAAAATTTTTTATAAAATAATGCAAGTATTAAAACCAAATGAGAAACAGATGTTGACAGTGCTCAACGTGTGTGGTATTAAAATCTACTCAATAAAACCGCCATTGGTGGGGGCATCAATGTGTCAGGAAATTGTGCAACTCCTCCTGAACTGTTTAACTGTCAAAATATTGAAATGCAAATTATTGAATAAGCACCATAATCAGACTGTTGGTTGAATAAGTGATTGTTCAGAATGCATGAAAGAATGAATTGGGATTATAGCCAACTATGAAAGCCAACTATGAAAGTTCCATGTACAGACGATGATCCTGGATACACTATGAATAAACTAGTTACGCTAATGACATACAACGGCAATAGCAACATGCAAGGTACAGAAGCTTTCAAGCAAACCAGCCATTGTCAATATTAAAACATGGCACCATACATTAATTAAAAAAAAAAAATAAAAATAAATAATTTGACGTCAATATTATACAGAGATAAAACAAGGAATGTATTTATGTACATATAGTTTGTTACTTTTCTCCTCCAGCCATCTTCACTTCATGTGTTTAAAATTTGTTCCGAGTAGACTAAAAATACGTTCACTGCTCTTGTAGATGTTTGTTTAGAGAAAGCTAGGTGTGCCATTTTATATGTACAACCACCACCTCAACAACAAGTTTTTTTGAATATTCTGTCTAGCTGCCTCAGGGTAGTCATATTCAGAATACTATGTAGAGCACGCTATAACATTTCATCCATCTCACTTTAGGTTAGCATCTGAAGGAATGAAAACATATGGTGAAAATATGGTTTAGGTATATGGTAGAACGCTTTTTTTTGTCATGGTTTAATTAGACCCATATACTGGTAATGATTCCTGAAAGAATGTCAGTGAAAATTTTCACAGCATCAACATTTCGTGATTTCTCTATGCTGAATGAAAGTGGATTATCGTATATCAGTTCCTAGTAGATGTTTCCGTGGTGATAACCCAGTAGGCGATATATTACAAGAATAGAATCACTACTACAAACTTACCTTATTTCATACGTATGTACTATTACTAGTCTTTGATGTAAATGACTGTTCATTTTCTTCGTACCATGCTAACATTTCTTCACTGAATGCTTCAGCTAATGACTCTCCTGCATCGCCTTGATAGTTTTCAATGGTATAGGATTCTGAATACAACCTGATGATAACATTAACACCAAGTGAAATCAATGACAAATCATAGTGGGAGAAGTTACTAGCAACACATTCGGTTTATAGTGAAGAAGTTTACAGACGTTCTATGCTGAGATACAGTTTTAATGCAACAATACAAATTGCAAGCCAAGTAAACACTTCCAGGTACACTTAAACACATTGATGGTTCTAACTGTGAATTTCCTGGTTTGTGTAATATGATATCATTTTCAATCTTTTTTTATTGCTGTGTTAAGTGGGTAAAACCAAAATTATCACCACAGAAAAGATTCCCTAATCTACTTTATTTTCGCTATTTTCGCTGAAGAAATGATTCAGTGAAAATAAAATCCAGCGAATATACCTATTTTCCTATACTTTACTTTCTACTAAAATAAAGTATTCTACAGTATTATCAAGATATAAATGCTTGACCATACTTCCTCCATCAGTGACACGAATATATAAACAGTATTTTTTTTCAGGCTCTAATTTTACATGTTTAGGGAATTTCTGTGAAATTTACACTTCGCCTGCATATCATAAAACATCAAGGATTCTCTGACAGGATAAAATGTACCGGTAAACGAACTTTGCATTCAACTCAAAATAAATAGTAATTTAAAACAACTGTGATCTTGATTGCATGCTTCATTCATATAGGTGAACCATTGACACTGTCACAGTACAGCCAGGATATAAAGACTAATGTCACTTGGTAACCTAATGACCTAAAAGGATATATATATATCCAATGACATAGACAAATTGTTTTGATATATACAGTAACATTGCATGTGGTACAAACCTTATTGATGATGATAAATCAATTACTGTATTTACTCTATCAGTAGCGCATAAACTAACATAAATTACAAAGATTTGTCTGTGGTCAAAACAGGTAATATTTTAATGATTTGGTATAGTCAAAACGTTTTTTTGGGGGGTTTATATATGCTTTTTCAGAGATGCGCTTTCAATGAAGTAAATATGGTACATTTTTGTATCTAGATATTTATAAGTTACCATCAATTTTTCAGTAAATAAATAACTTTGCAATTGACTTCCCAAATGAGCATACTAACTGCTTCTTTCAAATTCAAATGATATTTCCCCTTTCTTGAGAAGTACCCGATCCAAAGACACCAGGATACAGATTATTGAGCTCCCATGATTACTATGACTTATAGCATTCAGGCACACCTTATAACCCACTGTCCTTAAATTCTATGAGCATAAGACCATAGTTGTTTTATAAGCTTTGTGGTTAGTTTGTAATCAATGCAGTGCCCAAGAGTTTGAGATAGATTACTAGAAGTGATAGATGTTTACAGCATTGTGAATCTCTAGAAAGCAAGCAAGTACCCAGCAAGGTTCTCACCAGCTGTTACAACAACACTGGGGTGAACCCTGCTACACTACACTACAGTGCACTGTGCAAATTTGTTTAATCCCGTTTACCAAATGTATTGTGACATACCCAAATTGTAAATTGAATTTCCTTTTATATATGCAAAAGGGAATTTTAACTGAAAATAAGGATTGGTCCATCTACTAAAATATTGTTTATTGTGAAACCACGCCCCTGTTTGTATTTCGAGCAATTACACAGTCAATGGCTCGATCAGTCACTTAGTTATTGGGTAAATTGAACCAGACATTACTAACCATTTAAGAATATTACAGGTTGAATGAGTAACTACATGTATTACCCAGGAATTGGATTTACAGTACTTTCTAAAGCAGCTTTCTGATCAGCACTGTCCATATTTCATTAAACAGCATTTCCATAATTTTGTCTTTTTTGTTCCAAAGTGCATTCTTACAACCAAACAGGGGTGGTTTGTTAGGTAAAATATTTTACGATTAGTGTGCATGATTACTGTATATGTAAAGTAGATTAGGTAGGCAGTAAATGTCAGTAGTGATGGTAGATAAGTTGAGTGTAAGTAAAACAGTCAGAAAAAATAACTTTTAAATAGAACAAAAATAACTTTTAAATAGAACAAAAATAACAGATAAACAGGAAAGGGGAAATAACATAGGAAAAGGAAGAAGACTAAAGCACTGCAATTGATATTAAAACCAAAAAGCAAGTGTTCAAAGTCAATATCGATGAACTGACAACACCACCATAAACACCAATAGAAAAGCTGAAGTTTGGATTAAAATAATAATTGCATGAATTACTGCTTACTTGGCCCGTATGTGTTCTTCTGCATGCTGAGACAGTGCATTATCTTCTAGATCAGTGAATGAAGGAAGGCTGAGACGTGAATCAAAATGTACAAAAAAAAGACAAAACACTTGAGACAGACCACACACGCATACATACGTACAATGGTAACATGTAATGAAATGGGTGATGTGAAGAATGGTGCAAAGTGAATAGATGAGATGGCAATAAAGAGAGGTAGTTTGTCCTTGGCATTTTGTTCAATTTTCAAATCAAATTGTATATTGAGTTGGCACGAGAGGTTTCCGAAATCATCTGTGAATAAAGTGACATCACAATTGCTACTGAGGGCACTATCATAAATATTCAAAAACAAGGCATGGCTATACTGTTATCATTTATCTGCCCTGACTACTACACTTGGTAGTTCCATGAGAATTGGGTCTATTCAGAATGTTTGTAGAGAAAAATCTATATTCAAACATCTGTGGTTTAGAGTGACATCACAATCACCACTGAGGGTGCTGTTACACCTGTTCAAATCAAGACATGGCTATCCTACCAGTATTTATCTGTACTGACTACTACACTTTTCCCATGTGATTTAGGTCTTTACGGAATGTTTGTAAAGATGTGAAAACACAATAAATATTGAGGGCGCCACTATAATGACCACTGGGGGCGCCAGTACAATCGCCAATAAGGGCAACATTACAATGACCACTGAGGGCGCTATCTTACCATAAAGGTTTATCAAATTCTCGGTACTGCATGGATGTGTGCAACTCTTACCATAAAATGGGAAACCCTAAATGGAACATTAGTTTAGGTAGTTTATATCTTAGAAGTCTCATACAAGGATGTGAAATGGTTCAAATTTCATTATAGCAGGAAAGGGGTCAACTGATGTATGATTAAAGTAGGGTGTGAAACTAACGAAACGAATGTGCCAGACATTTAAAATACTGAGATGAATGGATTTACGGAAAAGGTGATTGGTATTTAAGGAAAACATTAAAGGAAAGGACATTAAATATAATAAGATTGGTGAAATTATGATAGAGATGGGATTACATATATTGTATGTGAGCAATAAAAAAAATATTTGCAGTTAAATTTCCTGCATTAAAAGTCCCTGTGTTAAATGCCCTCGTAGGCTTTCAAGTCATGTTGTTGTAAACGGCTCCCATCAGTTTCGGTCAATCAATTTTTATCAGGTTTTCCGAAACTACATAACATCAAATTGGATATTACAGCAGTGTATGAATGATGAATATAAATCAAAATGTCAAATAAACAAACCCAGAATACATGTACACCAACAGTATAGAAGGATTAACAACCCTGTCGCCTGACATGGGGCTTCAAAAGCATTTGCAAGGCATCATGGGCAGAAAGTAATTCCTATTCTCAGAGTTGTGTGCACTTTGGATTTGTTTTTGCTTTCACACTGAAACTGAAACCCCAAAACTATTTTCAAGATTTAATCTGGAAAATCAAATGGGTCTTTAACAGCAAATTACTGTATTACTACAGTAATCCAGAAGAATTGTTAAGGAAAGTCGCAGATTTCTCATAGCACATCACTTTGTGCAAGTATGGCTATAAGGTGAACTTTTTTGTGAAATGTGACAGAGGTATTTAATACAGGAAATATACCACAGAATAGAAATCACATACAGGATACTGCGTAGCTGTTGATCAATCTTGGAAATATGTATTCATGACACTAAATTCAGTAATTATAAATAATAAGATACTATTACAAAAGCTTTGGCCAGATTCACAAACTCATGTACTTTTGAAGGGCATTAGAGGTACGCTCTCAACTGATCAATTTACATTTTTTTATCCATTTTTTCATTTCTTATTTCACTTAATAAAGGCAAGTCTGATCAACGGCTACACACGAGGATACACCCCAGCTTGAAAAATGTAAAGAAAACAAGCTGCGAAAGCAAGGATAATCTTGTTGCAAGGACAGAATGTAAGGATGAAGGGTGGGGGAATGGTGAAGAAACATAAAAAAAACACCACCGAAGACAGACACCCATATATACATAGAGAAATAACAAAATCACAAAATAATACACAAGAACCCAAGGCTTGAGAAGCTCAAGGGGAATTAAATCTTCATATTAGTGATTACATGCATAAATAAAACATTGACTTGTAAATGAAATAAATTAAAACAATACATGCAGAATGGTGCACACCAAATTGCATGCCTCAAAACACAATCAGTAAATTAAAGGAGTGAATTTAAAATAATAATCAGGAAAGGCAAAATGATAAAACTATTCTTGTTGATATACAAAACAAAGTATCATAAAAAATTAACGTAAAAAAAAAAAAAAAAAAATTAAAACTGTCTTTGTAAAATATTTTTACGTCATACAAGTCATTCCTTACTTGAGAAGTCTTCCATTATCATTATTATTAATAAATATCAAAAATATAGCAATTTTAAGTTATTAATTCTAAGTTTTCATTTTTTATCATTACAATTTTAACCAAACACTTTATCCTTTAGATAAATTATCATTAATGACATACCTGTTAGGATTGCCTGGTTTAGGGACAGCCTCGCATGTCATCGGTTGCACGGGCTGATAATGTGTTTTACTAGCAACCTTGACAGTGTATGATGGTGCGGGTCTAACGGAAGTAGAGGTAGCAGTATGGAATTCTGCAGGTTTTAGCGACGCTGCAGGTGTTATCCCTACATTTGTTCTGGTATTGCGGTGATGTGCCGGTGAGCTTGGCACTGACCTATAAGAAGTGTTCATTGCTCTCCGGCTATACCCAGGACTCTTAGACGTGCCATAGTATGGCCGTACTGGTGTTGGTTCATAACTAGTTTGCGATGATGACGATGCTACATATTGCTGTTGTAAGGGAGCCCGAGGATTATGCGACACTGAGGTGATATACCCACCACCGCCGCCGCCACAACTACTACTATCACTACTGCTGCTACTCCTCTGTAAATTGTTTTCCATGCTTTTGGTCCCTCTTACAAGATTTTGCATGGGTGTCGTCTCATCTGATTCTTGAGTCCTGACAGAATCCACGGAGACACGACTATTGGGAATTGACAAAGTGGCATCACGTAACAACTCCATACTTTTGGCTACCCTACTCAATGCTTTTGCCGGTTCGTCGTTGTCATGACGATACATTTCCACACAGTGAGTCCTATCATCTAGACTACCCTGTTTAGACGATGACGTACTGGATGAATTATCGTCATCCGGATGTCTGTACGGTTGATTGATGTACACATTGACATCATCAAAATCAAATTGTTTAGGACTGAAATCAGAAAACCGAGAGTTAGTACTATATGTAGGGTAATGCTGTGACCTGTACTTAGTCCTGCTAACATAAGGCGTGTACCCTAAATTGTCATCTTCTGCCTCGCCCATTGGGAGACTGTTACATTTATTTTGCAGAGTTCCGAGTGATACATGTTTTCTAGGAGATGCCGGCTGACTCAACGACGTTGGCTGCTGATGGTATTCAGGATTGTCAAATGGTAAAAAATCACGTCCATTTTTCCCTGATGATGACAAGTTACTTGTTGACGAAGCGTGACGTTGTCGATTAGAACATGGAGAGTCTGATCGCTGACTAGAGGTCTCAAAATGAGACGGTCTTTTAGGAGTTGATTCCTGAAAGGTAAAGACCGCAGTATGCTGCTGCCTTTGTGGCGGTTCTGGTAGTTCCTGGTAATTTCGGTGATCGGCATGCTCCCTTTCTGGATATAAAATCACGGGTGTTGTTGGCCTTGGTGGTTGTTGATCAAGATTCTCCATACTATCCACAATTGTAGGCCTCATCTTGGGAGGCTCAGGAGTTTTTGATCTCCACTTGGCAGGAGTTCTTTCTCTAGAGCGATGACCAGGCATTCTACTTGGCGGTTTGTGCCTGTCGCTCATACTCCGTCGCACAGATTTATCAAAGTACAAATACTGCGAAGAAATTGGTTTACGCACATTCCTTTCAGATGCTGGTGACCGCGACCTGTTCGTTGATGTACTTCTCGAACTAGGAGTCCTTTGCAGTTCAATTACTTCCACGTGTGGAGATCGTATAATTCGTATGCTACCATCAGAGCTTTTGCGTGATATTGGCGGTGTCTGTGGTGGCCCAATAAATATGGGCTGCGAGTTTTCTGAAACTATGAACAAAAAGAAAGCAGGAATATTTAACATATGAAAAAGCAGAATGGTCTGAAATATTCAAGGAATTAGGGATGTGACTGTACACAGTAAAATGTTATAATTTCATGGCCATACATAATACTGATTTTGTATATTTTAGGACTTTACAAGGGAGGGAGAATCACAAAACTGAAGACAGAGGAATAACTTGTTGACATTAATGAGAAAGTTGATGTAGTGTCATTTCAAATTCTCTGTGAATTGTGATGCCAGGTTTGGATTCTAGATTTTTTTTGTGCTTATAAAGTTATTCACACTTAGAACATACATGTTAGTATTGTTTTGCTTTCAAATGCATTGAAGATACTGCTCCTACATTGGTTGAGATGAAATGTGACAACTGACAACTCCATACAATGATAATAACTTACCACTATCAGATAATGAAGACTCATCATCCTGAAAGTTCATTAATCTCACTGGAACAAAGGACGAGGAGTAACCTAATTGTAATTTCACATTATGTAGTTTCTTCTCCAATTCAGTTAACTGAAAGAGAAACAAATCAAGTCAAATAAAATTCATTATTATACATCTGTCACCATACAGCAATAAGTTACAGCATGTCGTTATTTTGCGGGTATTACACATGTTATTCAAAGACTGCAAAGTTTTTCAAAATTAAAGCAAGGAAATTCCAATAAAGTTCAGCATTATACTATGCACTGAGCAACCTACACAAAGTGGCTCCAGAAGATGTATAACAATGATACCATAAAGTACACACTCAAACAGTACGCAGACACATCTACCACTGCGTCAGTCGATACTCCCACTGTCTTCTTGCATACTTTTCGCTATCCTCGCAATAACTTTATAATATGGTAATCCTCCCAAGCCAAATACCAGCAAGATCTCATTTACTTTTTGTGTACTTTGAAATGACAATATGAAAGGATGTCCTCATATGGACAGACCAAAGTCCTAGATACTGTTTTTATTTTTAGCAGCTGGTAAACTTTTACTCATATGAAACCTTGGTGTTATATATGACCAATTAATGATAGCATTAACACGTGGGGAGCATACTACACTTGCTAATTTAATTACTATCGAGCTGGGTTAGTGGATACACACATCACTTTACAAAGAGTTCTACATGGATGATTTCATTGAGTTTCAGAGCATGTTGATTTATGCTAAATACAGTGCTGCATAGTGGTTTCTAACTCCATAACAGGAGATAGTAAGATAGAATGATAGACACTTACTTTTTCAGCGGCTTTCTTGTAAGTTTCCTTTCTACTTTTCCGTGCTTTCTTGTTGATTCTTGGATCATTTGCCAGACTGAGAGCTGCGCTTGTAATTTTAGATTGTAGTTCACACTCCACCTCAAGCATGTGCAGCTCATCATCCTAGGGGTTTGAAAAGAGACAAGTGTTTGAATACAATACAGGTACCACATTCTTGAAATGAACAACACAAGGTTAGTGATACTATTCTCTCATCTTAGACCACAACATTCCTGAACAGTGTAAATTTTTGTCTATAATTTAAAGGGCGGCAGTTGTCGTACCACGTTCTGTTCAATATGGGACTCAAAGTGACGTATACAACACGTGTAAAATACATTGTTTATTTACATGAAATTCGAACACGTGCTGCGCGACGACCACCACGCTTTAATTGAATGACAACAATAATAGTCATGTTTCACCAACAGGTTTTATTGCTCTTTCCTCGAAGGCCCTAAAAAGTTGTGACATCAGTCTGCAGTCGAGAATAAAACAAATACAAAGGATCTATTAAATACAAAGTAAGGTTCTCTCCCATAATCCATTGCATATATGTGCATTAACATGCACAGTATGAATTAGCAGGAAGTGCCTTAACAGGTTTTCTTTGAGATTGAGTGCATTCTATGATTATGATGGGTTATTAAATATGCAAACCTAATTATTTTTACTCATGGGAGATCCTTAGTCAGTGTGAAGCTACGTACAAGATTGACTATTTAATCCCAACACCTAAAAGTTAATTTTTCTGACATATAAAATTCTGCCACTCGTATATGTTGACCCCTGCATCCTAAAAGCCAACAAACCAAGAATACTCACATGTGAATCAAATTGTTTATTGACCAGCTTATCTGAGAGCTGAAATCCTGTGCCAACTCTGCGTCTCACTTGTGGCAAAGGTTCACCAGGAACTAACGGATACTCCTGAGGAAGCTCGCCAATAATCTCAGCCTCTTTGATGCAAAGCTCTTTTAAACAATCTACTTTTAGTTTAAGTCTTTCTTCCAAAGCTTCTTTGCGCGATTTCAGTGCTAGAATCATTTCTCGCTGTGCTGCTTGTTGAGTGGCTAATATTTCACTAGATACTGCAAACAAACATCAATGAGTTAAAAAATAATGGTAAGCCAGTGCATAATACTGTATTTAGATGTTTAGATGTACAGAGGCAGTTTTTTATGCTGGACTATGGACTATATAACCCAGCACGTTTAGGGACTCATTTTAGAAGCAAAATCACTGCCCTGTGTCAGTTGTCGATCAATATATAACATAAAAACTACCAATCAAATATGCTAACAATACATTAATCTTTCACATCACTGAAACAATCACAGTTGTTTAGTTTGGTTAACAGGCTAACTAATGACAACAACAGAATTTAAGTCGGGACATAAAACTCACCACTGAAAACAATGCAATGTGATAATTGGCCATGTTGAAATGATGTTTAGTTTACATGGAGAATGAAACTAAAATAAAACTTGCCAGTCCATCAAAGCACTTTTCTATATCAAGGTGCACTGTTATACAAAAATTGAGACATTCTTCTATTCTTAGTTCAAAATGTTTAAATTACATGCAAAAGTTATAAAAATTTGGTAAGTGAGAAGAAACTTGAAGCCTTTACTAGCCAATAGAAATGGGATAACATGCCTTAACTTTGACCCCTGCAGGTCATTCATATGAGTGAAAGCTAAAAGTAAATAGAAAAGTGTATTCATAGTATACACACATGTATAAGTGATGAGATGACCTTGATATACTCACCACCATTGGAGATAGCTGATAAACTAATAGAACTACTATCATGGGTTAAATCAGATGCCTGTGATGATTTGGAAGTCAATGATAGACGACTTTCTGTTAACTCATCTGCAATTTCACCAAGACTGCGAAACGAAGGTAATGAAGCCTGCAAGGTAGAGATAAAATCATAAAATGAATACAGGTAGAATGACTCACAGGATGGTAAATATGATTCAAATACAGAGGAGATGATAAAATAAATACATCAGGAATGTGGAAAATACTTGAGGGTACATGTTTCAAGTACTGTAAAATGACTAATTTTCACTGGGTTTAAATTTCACTGATTTACCATTTCAGGCATATTCAGTAGGTTTTAAATTCACGGTTTCGTCACTTAGATAATGTGTTCTATGCTAAATTTTACATATTCACTGGGTTTTAATTTAGCGCATTTTTCCAGTCAGCGAAATAAGCTAAATTAAAACCCAGTGAATAATTACCCCCTTTACAGTATCTGAAGAAAACTAATGATATATTTCCTACAATATAGCTTACACTAGCAATAGAATTCCAGTACATGCAAATACTAATATTCCTTTGTGTAACCCTTATTATTCTTGTTCATTTTAGTTGATGAATGTAGTTTTTTGATAGTTTATTTGTTATTATTTGGATTTGTATGCGGTTGGATAAAGTTTAAGTGCCATACTTTACCTCAGTAGGAACCCCCCTTTTTATTCTACACAAATTTGGCATCTTACATAATCTAAATTGAAATGGTTGTGGGTGGCTCATACATGACTGGGCGTTTAAAATCTGACTCTGTACAAATGCATTATTAGTGATATATGTGGTGGTGTACACAGTAATCATGATACATGTAAATATACAACATAGTAATGATAACACTTAGTAGCCAACAGCTGACATGTCGTCTATGCAATGTATAGATCTTTTATTCCCATTGAAATCCTGCATGTATTATTTAGACTCAAACATCTGCCAACTACTACAAACACCAACTACTACAAACCAAAGCACATCTTTTTCATCTGGATTATAAATATCACATACAATCAATATTTTGTTGACATTTCGGACTCGCCCATTGCGTACGACAAGTAAATGATTACATACCTTGCTTTGTTTTCTATCCAAGTAAAACTGGTGTTGACTTATAGCCATAGCCCACATGGACTTGACAAGTACAGGGTTTCCATACCAAGCATGGACAGTGACATTACTGGGACCAAATGTACGTCGACTTAGAGATACCCTGGTTGATAAATACAGTAGCAATTAAACATACAGTCAACCTGACATACTATGCAAGCCATGTCATTTCTATAGAGGAAAAATAAGCCACTCAGCAAAAGTAGCCATCCGGAGAAAGGGGGGGGGGGGTACATTGCTGGTTGGCACTGCATTGCCACAAATGAGAACATAAATATGCAACAATCGCCCTGATTAAAGAAAATAATCAGTATTAGTATCATAGATGTTTTGCTGTGCATTACCACATGGTTTGACAATCAAATTTAACTGACAATTCCCTCATCACTCAAGTACAGTTATAACACATATCAATTGCATGAATGCTGCTGATTCTGTAGCTTGACTTTATACAATATATAGCTGGGAAGATAATTTACTGTGCCAATCTGATATCTTTTTACTGCATTAGTACGTAAACAGCACACTATTCCATGGAGAGAAAAACACACATGCTGTCCAAAGTTAGTACCATAGGCTTTATTTATTACGAGTGAGGTTTGTGTTAAAGATATCATTTTGTCACTATACATTTTCAACCCAGTGTGGTGCGACAATGAAGCCAAAAGCGTCGCAAACCAAGCAATGACGACAAGCATGATACACCATGCCATATGAAAAACCCTGGCATGGACAGACTACCAAACTACGTGCACTAAAAAAAATATTTCCAAATGTAATTTTTTCACAGGGGAAGTTTTGGTTAAGGGGCGGGGCTCATAAACTGGTGTCCTCCTTCATTCAGAAGGGTGGAAATCATTTAAAATGATGTGTTTTCATGTTTCAACTACATAATTACCTTTATACACACATGCATGCAGTGAATGACTTCATTAACAGAGCCATGCAATGCAAGATGAATTTACCTGCTGAGTATTTATGCAAGCGAAGCAGAGAAATACAAAAGTTGAAAAAAAAAGAAAGGGGGAAATGGAGAGAAATGGAGCGGATAGACAGAATGGCATTTTTATGACAGGTTTACATAACTTACTGAGTCGTAGGATCAGAAATTGCATCGGACAGATCATCAAAACAGTCCAAGGGTTCCTCTATGGCCTCATCGTACAGGTTGAAGCTGCTCAAAGCATGCACGACTCTAAGAAGGAGAGAGTCCGCCGTTATACAGTTAACGTGTCGTGGTGTGTTAGTTATTTTCTCTTTTTTTTTCTTTTTGATTTGCTTGAATTGAAGGAGGTGCCCCAAGATGCATCTAAATAAGTGATTTTTTTTTCTTAATTTACTTGTCGTGGTTAGTCTGCGGTTGTACTATGCCTGGCTACAGTGCCTGGTTATTTTGTAACGCGGAAAGCTGTAATTGATTCTATGTCTACAGTGATCACACACGCGCTAACTAATCTAGACTAATTTCACTACAATATGAAGAAGTGTCTCCAAATAAAATTATAAAATAAATGATGTTAGTAAGTTTATAACAGTTTTTGGTATATTCTATTCTAAGTGGAAAATAGCATGCAGGAAAGCAGGGACAGGGTAGTTAATCAATTAGCGAGCTGCAGCAACCCACACCGCCCATCACCTACATATTTACATGCTTTAGTCTTACGGCTCACGTTGTCATTTTCACATCATTGGGGGGAGAAATCATAAATTTGAATAGAGTTGTTTGGAGACACCTCCCTCGAAAACAAAGATGAAAATGAAATAATGATTAAACAAGGTCAAATAACAAAAATGGCAACAGGTCACTAAGGTGTGGTGAACATAAAAACAAAACAAAAAATAAAACACTTAGGAATCGCAACAATGTAAAAACAAGCACACACTATACGACTGACCGAGTAAGCTTCCTTTAAAAGTACTGTATACAGTCTTACCTTCGCGGGTCGTGAACTTCAATGGAAAATTTTCTATCGCGGAAATATAAATTCTCTAGCTGTCGCCACTGAAATACCTGTAATGAGCACAGTACAGAATGGGAAAGGTTACACATTGGCAGTTAACCACACAAACGCTAGACTGAATTGTCTAATTACATTAAATTGACAGCATGACCTAAGTGATTGAATCAGCTAATTTATAGTTCTTCACTAAGGCAACCAGAGTATTTAACTGAATTCACACATGTATCCAATAAACAATGTCATCTACTCAATGATGGAATACAAACCAGGTCCGGGTTTCAGCAACAATGGTTCAGGTGGCTTGGCAGTACCATTAAATTAATTGTGACAGCAAAAGTGAAATTAAGGTACAGAATTTAACCAAACCCCCAAACCAATCCTCCCCCAAATACAAATGTACACATACACCACCAACCATCATTATAGATGTACAGACGCTACATGTGTTATTATGTTTCTATGTACCACATAATAAATAATCCAATATTCCCAAAAGATTTTGACACCAACAATAAGCATACCAACCACTGCATTTACCGCTACCTGGCAGACAAACCATACAACCCTGATTAATATTGTAACACAACCTGTATGCTATAACTCTAATAATGTCAAATTATCACCCATTAAAAGCAATTGACCAGACCACCTCAGGATCTAAGCACTACTGGTTTAACAACAAGAATCATCAATGTTTTCCGGTCTCCGGTCTCATTTCAGTGATTACAAATGATGCCTGATCAACTGAGACAGTATGACATGTTACTATGATCTTCAATAACTTTAGTAATCTTTGGTGGAAGACGCATGCAATCTGGCAACTACACTATGACCTTACTACAAAACAAAATCACAATGTATATACCGAAAAAGATACAGTACAGTAGAGGAGGAAATATTTACTTTAATTTGATGTTGCAGGTTTTATATTCCCTAGTTTGTGAAGGGAATATTATATTCTATCTTTTACTAGGTTTAGTAGTGCATTTAGCCAGCAGCTAAACAAAGTAAAAATAAAACCTAAATAATAATTAAGCCCTATGCAGTATCAACATATACATATAGTTCTTTAAAAATGTTAAACTACTGTAAAACAAAAATGCACACAAGTATTATATGTCTTAACTCTTTGAATGACATAATTTTTTTCATAAAATTTGTCAGTACTTTTATAGTTGCCTTTAGATAAAATTTTCTAAAAAAAAAAAAACTGAAAAATAAATAGTACATTTTAATTTGTGAAAAGTGACAACAATTGACTTTGCAGTTAAAAGGGTCAATGTCGTAGATAAAAAATTTCACATGAGTACTAGACTTTTTTTTAAATCTTGTCTCGTCAATTTTCCAAGGATCACAAAATGTTGTGGGAATCAGAGAAAATAATCACGCAGTCTCTCCAATATCCTGTTTTTATTACTGCCATATGTACCAATGTTACAAACCTAAAGCTAACACGTAGTCCACAGTACTGTGGCTGTTAAAACTACACTGAGTGAACACAGGAAGACTGGTGTCAAATACACTATGGTACTTAATGGGAAAAGTAAATAGCACTGGTGTACACCTGACTGATCACAATGTGACACAAAACCACAACTTACCTATAAATTTACAGAAGCAATTATTAGAACCCAGGTGAAAGGAAATGAGAATTTGACCCTAGCAATCAGTGTTGACTTTAATACTCGACACCATTACTGTTAATACATCCAAATGACTGCATCGATATGATCAGTTTTTAAAACGACCCACAACCAAACCGACCACTTAATCATTATACTTTTGACCTCTGACGAATCTAATTGTTTTTGGCGGCAAAATTATTCATTATCATGACTGCGGGAGCAAACAGATGGCGCTGATTATTAATCGTGTCAATTTGAAAAATGTTTTTACACACTTATGGTACTCGGGGATTGATCCAGTTGCTGAGGCAGTGGGTGATGGACTCATGCATGGCCAGGAGGAATTTTTAATAAAATAACAAATTCCAGACTTGGTAAGTTTATGAAGAATTCCATACTGGCGCTCTTTAACGTAATACTGAAGCCTAAACACAGTCTCTGAATGAAAATATTGTACAAGGATGTGAAAACAAAATGAAGGAAAATCAAATCTAAGTGGAAGAATTGGACAGTAAACACACTTGGGAATAAGAAATCCAGCTGCTCCCATTAAGAGTTTGTTTGGTGACTCACATAATACTGAAATCAAAGCAAGTCTGTGTAAATTTACAATTGTAAGCCGTTGATAGATATATCCCAGTACAATCACCGTATATGACCTCCATAACACTTTAACCCAATCTTTCAAGTATACTGATATCAATACATATTAGAGCTGAATGAACATAAACATACACATTCATTCATAGTTCTTAGTGACCCATAAAGCCTAGTAAGTTATCAGGAAATCACAAAAAAAATAGTTCAGATTTTTGACCGATGACGCCCATACACTTGACACTTGTGGAGTAAAGTAACAAGTACTCCCACCCACACACACTCACAAACTGATTGAAGTGTGATCAACACCTACATGCTATATCACAATGTGTACATCCCTCATAAATAAATACGCAGCAAACGCAATAAACTAAGGATGTACATGTGTAGCTATTGTCTGCATTTATACTACGAAAAATGAAGTTGTTTAAAATCGGATCATTCACAAGGAAAAACTATTTTCATCTGACATTGCCATTCACCCACACAGTACTGTACTGTACTGTAAAGGGGTTAATTATTCAGCAAGTTTTAATTTTGCTTATTTCGCTGACTGGAAAATGCGCTAAATTTAAAACCCAGTGAATATGTTAAATTTAGCATAGAACACATTATCTAAATGACAAAACCGTGAATTTAAAACCAACTGAATATGCCTGAAATGGTAAATCAACGAAATTTTAACTAAATTATCCATTTTACAGTATATAAATAATGCCAGGTGATATTTTGAAATTTAATTTACTATTAGCTCTGTATATATATTTAAACTTATAGAACAAAGAGGAAGAGGCTGACAGAAATAGATAGCATGTATCTAAATATGGAGTAAATTTAATATTCATTTACTGTGAAATACTTTATTTTAGCTGGAATTAATTTTCGCTGAAAAGACTTTTTGGATGTTCTGTATGGAATTTATTTTCACTGATTTTTGACAAGTTGAATGTAAAATATAGGAAAAATGGTATATTCGCTGGATTTTATTTTCACTGAATCATTTTTTCAGCGAAAATAGTGAAAATTAATTCCAAGCAAAACTAAAGTATTCTACAGTACTATATACAGGACATCCTGGTGTGACCGGTAATGTCGGAAGTACCGCTGGAAATGTCAGGTGCATCATTTTATTTGTAATTATTTTCGTGTGCAATGTATTTATTACACATTTTGCAAAAATCACTGCATGTCACATCACACTGTCAAATTGGGGAATCCAGTTTCTCAGGGTCATTGTATTTATTGTTAAGGACCATACACATCTGCTTTCACTGGAACATAAATTTCATGACAGGATAAAATCTCAAGGCTTTGTCGGAGATATCAAAAAACACTGTTCAGAGAGGTATAAAATGGGATTAAAAGAATAAATACCTTTCTTGGTGTGACTTTATCCGTGATATCATACTGCCCGATACCTTTATGACTAAATCCAAGCCACCATGGTAAACCACTTTTGTCTTTTACTTCATAATAATGTACTCCATAAGTGGGTAGACTTTCAATAATTGACATATAACTGAAAGAAACGAACAGAGCATAAGTTACAGTTCAAGAACACAAACCTGAAGATTAAAGAGAGGGCAGCCATAGGAAAGACTAGTTTCAGATATCAACAGATGTAGCCTTGGACAATAATTGAAGGTTAGGTGGGATAAATTACAAATACTGAGGTTAAATTCCACTGAAAATTCCTAACACGTAATGCTCTTTACACTTGTTACACTTCTACCCAAGCTGACACTTACGGTGAACATCCCCTGTACACATACAGTGTAAATTGAGATTTAAATGTAACGAGTTGCATATTAAAAAAATAAATGTGTGAAGAATTCCATCTATCATATAGTTGTGAAACCATGACCATGGACCTACATCCAAGCTGAGACACACTTCAAAGTAAACAAGTGCATGTGACATCACACACCACCATGAAGTAATCAGAAAGTGAAACCTTACAAGCGTTCTCTAAAAGCTATGGAGAACTGCTTCCCAATGGAACAAAGCTGGCAGGTTGGTGTGGTAAATTCTTGCATATAATCAACCTAGCAGAGTACTGCAGCTAAACCACACACAAAAAATTACTGGCTAGCTGGGGTTCTGAAAAATGACCAAACCATTGGAAATGAATATATACTGTTGCTAACTTGAAACATAAAGCACTTATGGTATATATAATATAGGTCGGAAGTAGAAGCGATATAAATTAAAACAAATCACTGGTGTAACTGTAATATAACAAGTTATACGGTGACTTATGAGAGCCTGATTTGATACATTTCCTGTGGCTTGTGCTAGGTACTAAGAAACTCCAGCAGAGAAAGGATAATTTAATGATATCTAATCCAATTGCCTCCAAACCTTGAATAACACAAGCATGGTTGTAATGATAATAAGGTTATTTGCCAATTTTTTGAGTTTTCAACTGTTAGACAAGCGATTTTATACCAAATGGAAAATAGTGTAAAATGACTAATTTTCACTGGGTATAAATTTCGCTGATTTACCATTTCAGGCATATTGAGTTGGTTTTAAATTCACAGTTTTATCATTTAGATAATGTGTTCTATGCTCAATTTTACATATTCACTGGGTTTTAATTTAGCGCATTTTCCAGTCAGTGAAATAAGCAAAATTAAAACCCAGTGAATAATCAATCCTTCTACAGTAGTTTACTTATTTTAATCTTCACAACATAAACAGTGTGGCTGATTTAGTCTATAATAAACAATTTAACCCCCCAAGCATACATGTCTCAAAGGATCCGCCTTCTTTTGACAGCTAAGCATGGCCACCAGCAGTATGCATGCAAATATTTACATCCACCCTTGTGATGGAGAAAATACAGGTTGGTTGAATAATTCAGAAAAACTAGTTTGCCAGTACCAGTAACTTTTAGCTAAAGTAGGAGCACGTTATATAAAGAATATCAGTTAGAAGTTAAATATTAAGAAATTGTAAATCTTGTAGGGCTTCTTGAACACAGGGCAGGCTTTTAGCAAAGTAAACAAATAACAGGACAAGTGAAGTAACCTAACTTGAATCCTAGGGTGGTAACAGTGTCAAAGCATTTACGTTATACCAGTTACAATGAATCTACTGTACACATCCAAGGGTCTACCATACACAAGCAATAAAGGAGCCAATCCCTGAATGACATTCACTTGTTTCTGTCTGACATAGATTAGAAAATCAAACAAGAAATACATACCGATATCATTCAGAACATAAACCAGTATAATATCCAAAGAGAGAGATAATGAACAAGCTGATAATGAAGCAGTTCTCCAGGAAATGAGAGAGACTTGAGAATTATACACAAGAACTACTCCTCCTTACTCACCAATCCAAGTATACAGGATATTAAGGCCTGGGGTAGCAGTAATGTTTATATGGAGCAAAGGTTGACTCATAAGATTTATGCTAATTTTGGAAGAGTCTATATTAGAGAGAGGGGTGGAAAGTGACTAATGTACGAGGCACTGATATTGCTCAAGTGTATACACTAAATATAGCTAACTTACGAGGATCGATAATTACTCAATTTTTATAGTTGACAACACTTTCTGCAATTAAAACTGTGATTTGTCACTGTGAGATGTTTGAAAGATGGAATATAGCTTTGAACGACATAGTGTAGACCACTGCAGGGCAGGTAGAATAGCATTATGACAGGACAATACTAGTAATAATACAATGAGTGCAAGTGAACATCGTGCATTGGTTTCACATCCATAATAGGTATCATGCCAGACACTGACTTCACTATAAAACTGAAGAAAAAAACACTTTGAAGTCTAGACGTGAATGACTTCAATAGTATTTTGATAAGACTCAATACATGCATCAACACACTTGCACAATGAAGGCTTTACTCTTTTTAACTACAATTACTGAGAAGTTAAAAGTTCATAGTATCTGTTATCTGCACTTAAACTAATCTCAACTTTATTACAGCATTCAAGTCATTAAAACAGACAAGGCATGGTATACACACTCTAAATCTATTTTTTTCTGGTTTAAATTGGATTGCTGGGCTAGTTGAATTTTCAGCATAAGGAAATGGTTAGCTTCCTTGAGCATTTTTTTTTTTATTTACAGTTTTTATTTTTTAACATTAGAAAGATCCTAAACAATGGGATAAGGAGAATAAATATCAATGTTGTGGTTATCCAAATTTTCAATTGCTCAAAATCACAGGACTTTAGCACATTCAATAGTGGGTCAATAAAGCAGTTCGTAACGGAACAATAAAAAAGTTTAGTGAACATGGTGCCAAGGAGAATGCAAAACAAGTGGCATATCTAGCTCCATGCTTTGTCAGAATTTGTTGAAAACATTTGAAATATACAGATAGTAATACAGAACCAAGGCACATATTTTAATCAGTAGTGCAGTTTTCAGGAATTTTGCCTTGAAATTGGTAGCCTTCAGAAAAATGAAATTGCAAGCACTCTTGAATTCTGATATCCCTCCCAAGATCCATTCACTAATTAAGTTTTGAGTCCTATCATGATAAGAATGACAAATTTTAAATTCAGAGTCCTTGTGACATATACATCATAAATTTGATGATTTTGGCTTAACCTTGTCTTTACTGAAATAAAAAGCTGTCACAGTGGTGAAATATCTTCTTCTTTTTTTTATCTAGACATTTATACATGCAAGGCTATTCAAATAATATTTTGACAGAATGTGCTTTGAAAATAGAGCAAAATATAAGGTAGTTAGGATCCTAGAGGTTCCCAGAGATATCAAAAATCACATTCTAAGCTACCAAAATGTCAGCATGACCAAGGAATGGAGTAGTGAAAGTCAAGACAGATGAGCAACAGCTGAAAGGAATCCACTGACACAACCTTGGACATCTCTCTCACCAAGTGTGCGGTGATAAAATAATTCCACCTACTTGACTATTGCTTGTCCTCTGTTCTGACCAGCTAATCTTCTGTAATAGTAAAGTACCCTGTCTTCACAATACGAAAGTGATGGATGATCTTTTAAAGCACTTGTTGGCAGTACTGGAAGCTTCTTAAGGTTGTTCTTAGCTGCATAGTCACTGTGAAAATCAAAGTAGATGCTGTTCAATATGCTGTGTGTACATATAAACAACAAACACACTTTTGCATGGCAGTATTTACACTCTCTCATCCCCAGGGAAGATGCTTGTTCTACATGCCCTCAGAACACAACACTAAGATCACTTTGAGGTCAAGGGTGGTTTATATGGTTTATAGTTTACTAATACACTAGAAAATGTTACACCTTTTAAAAAAGATAGTGATCTCATAATCTGGTGTTCACATCAGCATTTTTTACAGGCACTGTAAATATGGCAACCACTGGATAATGCACACAATGGCACTGATCCACAGATAGGCAATACCAATGCAGTTAGTGTTACAGCAAATATGACTCACACATTACCTTTATACATTTTGTGCCACTCTATATAACCTATACTGCCTGAAATTCTACACATATTGTGAGTAAGTGAAATGTAAATACAATTGACCCATGGCACTCAAATAAATTTAAATTTCTAAATTCACTAATAACCCTACTGCCAATGATCGTGTTTAGGCCAAGGTTTGTGTTTACATCTACTTTTACATCAGCTACAGCAATGTTGTTTAAAATTTACAATTTCACTATTTTTAGTCCCTTTGACACACCACCTGCTGAAAGCATCCATGGATGGTCAAAATGAACAGGAAAAATAACAGCATCAGCAGGTTATGTATTAAACCACTTAATAAGTACAATTTGAATTTAAAAAAATGGCAAACACTAGTGCAGTTTATTAAAACATGAACTGTATTAACCAGCATGATCAGACATCATATTTCAGCTACCCATGTAGATATCCTCCTTCTACATGTGTACAAGTTTACGCATACAAATTACATTACCCATTCCACGGTATGGCACAGAATGAAGATTGCATACAAATGCATTTTTCATGAGTTTGGAGCAGACTTCCCACTTACAACACACTCACTTAGAAATGCACCACATAAAAACAATGAATAATTTAGTTGATAGCTATACCCCCAATTATAATTCTGTTTATGTGTTTAACCAATAATAATATCGAGAATATGTCTTTAACTACTTAAAGAAATAAACGAGGATGAGGCACTGATTTTTTTACTGAATATGAGATGAAGAGGAAGAGAACTACCAGAATATTGAATATAATAAGTATTGTCTTATGAGGGAAATCACTGATTAAAATATGAAGAAAAAGTCACACATAAAAAAACAAGCCGGTAGGCTGGTTGGCGATCTGCTCCGCTCAAAAACAAGCAACATGTTTTTGGTTGTTTTTATAGTGTGACATAAACGTGAAGCTAACGTCGGTTCATAACTAAATGGGCCCCGTATACGAAGTTTGCAAAAAACATTCAGTCTTTAGAAGTCACTTAGTTTATTACTAGGACGTATTCTTCTGTTACATCATTTACAGTTCATTCAAAGTTCAAAGTTGCGTTGGGATTACGTTGATACAGTGTAACAATGTCGGCGCCGGCGATCTCCTACCAGTGCGCAACTTAGCCAAAATAAAAAGCATGGTCATTTGAACACTGCTATTACAAAACCACAGTCAGCTGGCATCGGTGTCGCTGGGTGTATATGATAAAGGGAAGTTGTGCAACCAAATTTGTCGAGTTCACAGTTTTTCGGCAATAAAAAAAACAACTAAGGCAAAAACTCAGTTTTTCAGCATTTTTGTAATAAAGACATTATTCTCTATCAATAATCCGCCCAAAACAGGAACATTTCTACTAATTCTTGTGTACAAAACTGGTAGAAGGTAATACATTTGGGGCGAAAGTATTCAAAAATCAGTTTTTGGATGTTCCAATGGCACGGCACGACCTACCTGTGAAGTATGAACAAAATCAGCTGAGCCGAAAAAATCACAGAGGAGTTAAAAGCCGTTGCTGGTGAAAAGTTACCCCAACTTTGGGGTCAAATTTCTTGGTAATGAAAAAAGATATCAAAAATTCAAATAGTAACTTTGTGCCCACACTCAAGCTGAGTAGAATGAGCTATGTCTGTGGTGTTTTATCCTAAATTTGTAGGAGGAGATACATTTGGCGCGAAGCTATCTAAAAATCAGTTTTTTGGCTGTTGCTATAGCAACGGTGGACCAAAAATTTTTTTCAGATTTTTCCTAATAACTAGGGTGAAGGTGTGACCTACCTGCCAAGTTTGAAAGAAATCGGCCAAGCCAATAAAATCACAGAAGAAATCATACGTGAAAACACTGGAAATCACACACACAGACACACACACAGACACACACACACACACACACACACACACAAAACGACAAAAGTGATTATAAGGGCAATCCTAGCGGAGCGCATTGCCAAAAAAAAAAAAATACAGTAAATATAAATTAGTTCCGATAATCTCGCTTAGCAAAATTTCTGGAAAGGAAGGATGAAAACAAAACTAAAATGCGACAATATGGGCAGAAAATATATACATGTATATCAATGGCATTGGATTTTTATTTTGTGTGTGAATAAAGACACATTTAATCTTCAATATGAAGTGAGCCTCTCCAGTAAGAAATCGTAAACTCCCAACACACTGCAGCAAGAGACTGAGAGAGAGCAGTGTAGTAGTAGTAGGCGCCATCACTGGCCAACAATAGCAAGAGCTGATATGATAACTCATGCAATGTATTCCCTGAAGCAATATCAATTTTCTAATTCCATATTAATATGGGTAGAGGCAGAAAATGATCGATAACAAAAGCAATGATTTGTGGATTAGATTTTCCTTTCAAAGAAATTATATATGCAAGTTCATGACGAATTGAACTATGCTATTTATTCCATGAACTCAGATTACATGAAACCAATTATTAGAGTAGAGAATTATTAGAAAAGAGTAATATATAGACTTGCCTGGTGAAATCGCCATGTAATGCTTGTAATATATGAGCTGCTAATTCAAAAGCTGTTTCACTATCTACTTCTAAATCACCCTGTAATAATGAAAATAGTGTAAAAGCACTTCAATATATTGCTATAAATAGGGGAATGAGAGTGGATACATAGTTGAAAAACGTGCTGTAGCTTATCGGTTGTATACAGCACAACATAGGCAGCTTACCTGTCAGATTGCAAATATTTTAAGACAATTTAGCCCCAACCCCCTATAAAAATGATTTGCTTCTTGTCTTAGGGATAATTGAAAAATGATATAATGATGCATGATAATCCAAATCACATATACATATATATTTGAACATATCGTGAATATTTTTTGAATAATGCTTTCAAATACATGTAAATAAGAGTTGATTTTGATTGACAAAACATCTTCTGAAATGGAAACAAACATTTCTCTATTCTGCCATATGTGGCGCACTTTATAAATATGTGAAATGCAGGTTTCAAACTGACACATGCCATAATGAGAAACAACACATTTCTGTTTTGTCCTTGAAGGGCTTTCAACAAAATTTTGCTGACTACAGAAGTTTATATCAGAAACGTATAAATATTAAGATTAGAAATGGGAGTGGGATTAGAGTGGGAAAGTCATGTGATGTTCTGTTATTGAGCAACAATCAATTTACAGTCGCAGCAAAGACATACACATGTATACATTTAATTTAAAACTCATAACAGATATTAATTCTTACCTTGAAAATAGCTTGTTTTGCTTGCAGAAAAAATAATTCTATTGTGATAGTATCTCGTAATATTGTAATACTCTCCACAAAATAGCGGACTTTGAAAGACAACCCCAACAGTCCACTCTTTTTAGGAAACTCATGTTCAAGGACTCTTCTATCATGTTGCAGCCAATTATTATGACCCCTGCAATGAAAAAATATTAAAATATTCAACAGATGAAAGATAATTAGTGCATAAAGATTCAGTCTGTATAGAAACTCAAAAACCATGATTTCCCAGTGCTATCTCAATAACTGGGAAACCAGATGGGTTGTTTTTCAGGAATGTTGCAAAACTCAAAGTTGAGAAAAATATATTCTATGTTTAGTGGAGCGAAGCACACACAAATAAATAATACGACAATTTGGCTTTGTATTAAAGTTTCAACGGACAACAGATCATCAGAAATTATGAAATCTGGTGATTTGATAAAAGAAATTAGTTAATTACTAGTGTATAGATGACCAATTGAAATTTAATAAAGAACTTCTCGGTAAGTTTGAGATATAAAACTCACACCTAATAAAACTAATACACTTTTGCATTTGTCTTACTGTACCTGTGTACAGCAATAAATTCTATATTTGATTCATATGCAGAACCAAATTACAGGCAGACCTGCTCAAGAAAGCTAGTACTAATCAACCTTTACAAATTTCGCTAGTCAGGGAAACTGCACAATTATGTAGCGTTTAAAATATCATTGGGATCATTGAGACAACGAGTCACAGTGACTTGCAGCAAAATTGTTATCCCACAAATGTCATTAAATTATCGTATGAAAAATTCATAGTGATGAAAAATAAATGGTTTACTATATTTTCTACTGAATGAAAGTGTCATGAAATTGATTTAAAGTGTCAAGGTGTCAAGCAATGCAGGAAGACGACCAAGGTGCTTTGTAACAAAACCAGTGCCATTTATTATTAGATAAGCACGTGTGCTTTGAATACGATTTATATATGCGTAATACCGGTAGTATAGAAACGAGGACGATAAAAAATAGTGAAACCATTGTAAGTTTTCACTAATAGTACAATGTATGATTGTAAATCTTCTGTTTTAAATAAGGAACAATTGTTTATTTAGATATGTTTCTGAAATAACAAATTCAACTATATGCTGGATCTTAAAAACATGTTCCATTCTATACCATCATCAGGTCCACTATTCTCCTGACCTATGTCACCACGGTATAGTCACAGCACTAAAAGCACAGATCATAGCGACCCTATGACTCCAAGATCTATGTTCGAAAATTTCATAGTCATTCAGGAATTTTTTTTAAACAAGGGAACAGGGCGCAGTGCCTTCATGCAATGGCCATGCGCCTCTTTACCTTGTGGAGCAGATCCTCTGGCAATCATAAAATTCTGATTGACCAGGGATCACATGGTCTTCAATTGTTACCTGTTTGACAGTAATTTTGGCCCCAAGAAAGCCAAAGAATGCTCCATTTTAACTTAGAATTATCAAAAACTTCACACCCTTGAAGGGAGAACCCTATCTCCCCCACTTGGTGGCGCCACTAAATTGCAGTGCTCCCTCTTGCAGTTTTTTTATAGAAAAATCCTGCTCATTGATTTTTGCAAAAATATTTTCTCATGAATGCTATTAAATCATCGAAACAAGTTGTGATGGCATAGCAAGTCAACTATAATTTCACTATGTTTGATATCAAACAATGGGTAGATAAAAGCGCAAAGGGTAAAGGTTATCAAGTACAGTCTATTTAAAGTACAATGACAACGTAATTAACAATACATCAACAATTTACACACAAAACAAAACCAAATTAAAGGGGAACCTTTCAAGCCCAGGGATTGCACCAAAGACTCATGGAATACCAGACACTATTGTTTATGTTTATTGTTAAGTTAATCTATCTTTTGTTATCCATTGTAATTTTAATCTAGAAAGTAAATTTGATGTGAGATTAGGCTTATCTGGAAGTGCCCCTTTAACCATGATTGTATATACATGTACTTGTTTGAGAAATGAAATTTGAGTTTATCACATCTAGAAGAAAAGATTAAAATAAAGAAATGAACAACTTATTTCTCCGCTTTGATTTGGGGAAAGCTAAATAATTTCAACAAACTAAAGTAATTTCATAATTGTGACAACTATGTGTCATTCAGACTTAATTTATAACCAGGTATTGTATTTTATAAGACGGTAGAAGATTCAATCCATCACATTATGGAAATAGACATTGGAATAAGAGATGCCTAATCGGATTACTGTCATTGGTAGGTTAGGCCAAAAAAAGGTTTTGCTTCTAATGCTGGAGAAAATTGAAGAATGATGCAGTGACAGAAACAGAAAACATTTCCCTACTGTGCTGCATGTGTTCAAATTTACTGGTATCATGCAAAACTGCAAACAAATATGTGCAGGGTGGTTAACTAACGCGTATGACGAGAACGAAAATCTTTTTTTTGCCTTAGAGTTATAAAACTGTTAGCATGAATTTATAATCATTTTTTTGTTTCATTGAATTTATCATGTCATTTGTTGTTCACAAGATAATGTGAGTAGTGTGATTAATTTTTGGCTTTTACACGATTTTGTTAGTTACCGGTAACTCATCTTGGAAGATTACACTACTATTAGTGTAAACTTTTCAATTTGCAAATCTTTCAACAAGAGAATGAATGAAATCATGGAAATAGAAAAACAGAGACATGATAAAATATAAATGTTTTAATTATGATTATTTTTCAAATCTGATAAATGCAATAATATATTCATCAATGGCAAGTATTATTTCAAGCCACGTTTATCCACAAGCAATGACGTGCATAATATTTGAAAAACAACTATGTATGGGATAATATAGATTTGTACGATTTCAACACCTATATGTATTTGTGAACCAAATCAAGGCCTTTTACTCTCACCTGAACACTTACAGTATATACTGTAAAATACCTTATTTTAGCTGGAATAAATTTTCACCGAAAAGACTTTTTGGGTGTTTTATATTAAATTTATTTTCACTGATTTTTCACGAGTATATTTGCTGGATTTTATTTTCACTGAATCATTCTTTCAGCAAAAATAACGAAAATTAATTCCAAGCGAAAATAAAGTATTTTACAGTAATTCGAAATATGTCTACAAAGTCATCTCTCACAAGCAATGGTTTCTCTATTTGTACATGTACCAGTATTTTCAATCTTCTCAAGTGGACAGCAGAGGTTGAGAATATAATTTGCAGATAAATGTTGTTTTTATTTCATAATATTAAAGGAATATAGCAGCTTTAATATCCTCCATTAGAAATTTTATTTTTTTTACTAAATACGATGAAGCCACTGTTAAAAGGCCCAGAACAATATGTAGCGGTACATGTACACCACTGTATATCAGTGTGTGTATTGTTTTACCATCCTATTTAACTAAACTAGGTCACTTTAATGTTTACTGCTCAAGGTCAATAAATACACATCAGCGTTAAAGACATTATTCTTTTGCTGCAAAACTTTTCATATGCTACTTCCTGTATTTCTGATATTTGCCAAATGGGGAAATATTGTGCACTTTACAAAAACATGCTAGTTGCATTATCAGCTGATTTTATATGTACACTGCATGCATGTGGACAAATCTGTTTACAGTTCACGTTCGTGTGAAATCGGTAAATTAGATTGTATACTTAGCACCTAGTACTTTCAGTGCATGCAATGATCCTTGATTGTAATCTTGGCTTTCTCATTTTTCATTTGTGTAATCTTACACAGGTAATAGGCATAAAGGTTACACATCCTGGCACTATCTGGGGTATTGTTGGTCTATGACAGCAATAACTTCCAATATTATACCTCAATTTTTTTATATGTTAAATCAACTGTGGTTGTAACTATTTCACTGACTGTTCCTGTACTCACAATAGAGAAATTAGTTACAATTGAAACAAAAATAAAATACAGTACACCTTGATGCAACATTGATATTTTCTATCACACTTTGAACTCGTACATTGCTGTTTTTACTGTGAATAACTTCACCAAAGTATCATTTAACCATAGGTATTTAAATCAAATAGAGAGCACCTAGAGTTCATGCAAGTTTACTGACTGATTCAGCTGTGATTGTTAGAAAACATTCTTTTGTGACAATGGAAACTAATCTTGTAATGCAATGGAAACTTAATCCAATTTGATTCATGAGCCACACCCATGATTACATGCGACTTTGCTAATCTTTATTAATCCATCACATATAACAGTAGTTATTATTGAAGCTTCTTGAGGAGATGCCAGAGGTTTCACAAAGAGGAGATTTCCCATGATTTTTAGTGATTGCACCATGGAATCATTGGATGCCAATTACCATTGCACATGTTGATAACACCAATAATTGGCCCTTCTATTTCCTACTATAGTATTTATTCATAAGATAAAACCTTTGAGCACCATAATTGTTCCTGCCAAAATGTTAGTTGCTTTGATCATTCTGTACCAAATGAACATAATTGTAAAATGTAACATTTTATTATGTAAACGGTGCTCAAAGGGATATGCTTATATGAAGATGCTTCAGAACATCTGGAGAACAGTAATTCACTGCCAATACCATATTTATGTTATTAGAAACACATCTCCAATAGCAACACATGTAAACAATCAATTGACTGTATTGTACGCTGGTTTATTCAGATTTTGGCCATCTAAACACCAACAAATAACAGTCCAGAGTGCATGCACTTTTAACAGAGTGACTGTAGTTACGGTGCCAAAATGGTTCCGCATGAAAGAAGACGATCACAACATGCAGACTTCAAAACACTTGTGCATAATGAGCAATGTTGCAGGGTTAGAAAGGACATCAGCGGATTATATTAATAAAATAGGTCATCCCGTCTTTGTGGTGAAATGAGATAACACAGTAAGATACATGGGAGAGTGTGTACTTGTGTGTCCAGCAGAAATGGACTTGTTATTGCAGTTGAACAGAAATTGGAATCAGCACCCTTTCGTAAACAAGCCACACACATGGAATAGCCAGAAGCAGCCAACAAATGGTCCACTTGAGAAGGAGCTAGCATTTTTAAAATGTTATTATTCAAAATATCTTCATGTTCTATTAACAAAACTCTGTTGCTTGGTCACAGTAAATGGAAATGAATGCACTGACTGAAAAGTCAGTGTTATTGTAAGATATCAGGTAATCAGGGCTAGTTGATTACTAAGGCTTGTAACAGGAAACATACAGAAATCATACAACTTGCATTACTTCTTGATCTTATTAGCAAGCTAAGCGTTCGTTACCCCAGGCAAAAAAACACTGATAATATTAAGTACAGCGTTATTACCAGGCTAATTGCATTTCTAACATATTGTATATATATACATACAGAAAGTAATAAGAGATGGTATGCCACTTTTTACAAAGTAGAGCAGCTGAGCTGAACTGAGAGGAATAGTATTCAAGTTTTTTTTAAATCTCAAATCAGTTCAACTATATTATAGATTATTTATTAAAATTATTAAATTTATGATCCTGATCCTAATATGTACATTTGGAAATAGCATTTTTAACCAAAAATGACAAAAAAAAAGAGAGTTGAAAATATCATCATGAAATCAACACATTTACCAAAATATCAGTTGGGTAAGTTTCAAGAAGAAATCTAATACAATTGTTGACATATGATGAATAAACAATGGACAATCAGAACAGCTCTGCTCTGTCATCAAGTATAGGAAATCCTGTTTCTTGTGATGCACTAAATTTAGATACACAGGCAGTGACAAAAATAATGCCATGTTACTTGTACAAAAATATATCACAATCAAAAGAAGTTTCCTGACCTGGTTTGATCAGGTTAACTGGTTAATAAATGATTTACTTTATTAATCAGGCAAGCTCCCATAGTTTTGTTTCAGTACTGGAATGAGGATGTATGTGTTATACTGTCACTTGATTGAGTATAAGGCCCCCAAAACATGATTTGTTTCTGGTCAGTGCACACGCCAGTCCACAGGGGTCACTTTAAAACATTTTTATAAATTCTGCCAAATTATAACAAAAACTAAAAAATAATCAATAGAAGAAGAGTCAAGTGATTAAGCAAATCTATATTTTTTTAGGGATAATAAGCACTGGTTTATTGAAAGCAAAGAGAATGAATTTAGTTTCTTTTGATATGCAAAGTATAAAATAAGAATACCTACACTAAAACAGTATATTAAATGTATGAAATCAAGTGGGACTGGTAGACCAAATAGACAGTGACTTCTGCCAGCATTAGGTTGAACATAGAATTGTCAAACTTTTAATAAAAGGAAATAGAATTCATTACAATTCATGAGACAGCGACAGGTTGGACACACAATGCATTACTATTGGAATTCGCAGTATGTGGGGGACTATGCAAACACACAAAGTGAAAAAGAAATGGAAATCAGTAAATTGGACAGATGGGCAACAATAGAGATAGGGAACAAACATTATATCAATGTCCTTAGTACAGGTGGGGCAGTGAAACCAGTACATTTAACCTGGACAGACAAATGACTGGCATAGCAATTCAGGTGTGTATTTGCACATGCATTCTCTGAGACAGGCAACCGACCCTGAACCAGTTGACAGAGGGCACAGAGAAATAATGAATTGTCAGTCCAACAAAAGGTTGGAAACCACGTTATATATTCATGTGATGATAAAAAAGATGTCAACGCAATAATGATAAGAATACCGTGATTTAGTACTGACAGGAAAAGAATGTTAGCAACAACAATTCCATGTTATGGAAAACTACATACAATATAGTGTACACTGTACTATATCTAAAAACCGTATCTACATTCATTTAATAATGTAACTACAATGTTCCTTTAGTTTACATCTGACGCAGATGCACTATAGTGTGTGGCGGACAACATGTGCTAATGTATATTTTAGTGATATTATTTCATTAAGAAATCATAACCCAATATAGATCCAACCACCCTGGCCAAATATCTGCCGCATGTTTAAAGAATACATGCCAAAGAAATTAAACTCAAATCAAATCAGTTACTTACGTTTCATCAGTGAATGCTAAACCAAAAAACTCCTTTTCTTTTAAATTACAATGTGAGGCTACCAGATCCAGCAAATCTCCCGAAAACAACTTGGACTGCAAATAAACACATAGAGATTATTTGAAATACAATATTTATTTATACATTTTTTTTTAAATTCAATATCAGTCATCAATATTAGTGTATTTATCTTGTAAACAATAACACCGGTTAGATTGTGTTCTTCGCAAACATTTGTGTAATTTTATCATTAAAACACAAAATATTGTGCGAATAGAACACAAGTTGGGTGTGTGTTAAACTTGTCAATGCCAAGTTAAGTGCATTTCTAAAAAAAGAAGCATGGAATACTGGAAGATTAAAATAGATATCTTTTACCATAGATATATGTCATTTACATTTACATTTATGAAGGATATTAAGAGACTCGGCATATTGTGAAAGGGGAAATGTAACGTCAGAAACAAATCAATTTCTTGGATGATGGTTAACAGCACAAGGACATGAGAACACACCATGAAGGCAAAACTGGGTTTCTATAAATTGTAACAAAGTTAAGTTGGTTGAACTACATGATGCATTGAAAAAAGGGGTTTGAGCTGAAACTGAATAAACTACCAGGATAATGGCCAAGGCTCTGTCAGATTTATTCCACAAAATCTGTTTGTTTTTTCTTCAAATTATGCAAATTAACCACTACATAATTAGATGTGAGCATGTATGTATCTCATGGGAAAACGCCACCATTCATTCTATAACAATTTAACTACTAAACACAGATACATGTATATTATCACAGCCACTCCATAACAGAATGTACATAACAGTTGATAGTAACCATAGTAAAGTCGCAAAACAATATTAATCCAAGCATAAATTAGTTTTTACACTTCAATTCTCCCACAACCTTGCAATCAAATATGTAGGAACCAAAATAGCTATTTACGTTTTTATTCTATTTTGATCACCATCTTGATGAAATGAATCATACAGAATATTGATACTATAAAAATAGGCAATTCAGGATTGAATTTCACAACATGTCTTTTTTGTATCACTGTCGAGAAATTTGATCTGCATATGAAATAATAACTCGCAGAAATTTTGAAGACTGAATTTCTGACTGAACCTGCCAAAACCTTACCCCACACCAACCCGACCCCAGGAATTATAGGATGTTTGACCCTTAGAAACAGACAAGGTAGTATCAAATAGCAGTAAACAGCAGCTGCAATTATTTTCAGCTCAAAGTGTATTTGACAAATACCATACAGTCTATTAAGTGCATGGTGTTTTTGAACCTGATCTTTAACGGTTGTATCAGGCCATGTTTTTAACGCTGTCTAACATCAAGTACAAGTACCTCCTAAGTCACTTTACTCTGGATGGTTACTTGTACACAGCTATTATCCTATAGACCATATCCTTTCAAAATTCTCAAACATTCATGACGATTACACCCTAGACAGTAGAACACATTAGGGGGGGGGGGGACTGTATGTCAGCAATTTACTAAGCTTTATTGTTATATTTTAATGGCCGGGTACCAGTTGCAAAGACTTCTTTTTAGTCTGTAACCCTGTAATTTCTCAGTTACTAAGCTGTGAATATGCAAACAACTAATGGCAAGCAAAGAATGTTGATGAGAGACTGCTTTAATGGCTGTTACTAGCTAAAAGGTACTGCGCGTCACCACTGAGGAAAAGAAAAGTTGAAATTTCTTACCTGGACCAGGAACTCCAGACGCCTTTCGTCCAGGAGTACAACCTGGGTCCGTCGCCCGTCAGTCATCTGTTACAAAAAGAAACAATAACAAGTTCAGAATGTGCATGAATAAAAAAAAACTAAGCATTGGCAAATATTAATTAAACAAATATAACCACCAAGAGCTTTTTCTGTGTACAGTACAGAGGTCATTGGTTTGACAGGAATGTCTTATCATATACCACAATCAATTAAAAATATGGAGAATACTAAATATTTGCACGTAGCCAGTCTAATGATATCGCCCCCAATCTACTATTGAGAGCTTATTTTACTAATAGCCATATCAATTGTTAGCTCTAACACCATCTTGTGATCCATAGCATGGCTGGTGATTATAAAGAAATAAATTCAATCTATGATGTGCTGTGCTCTGAATAAAAGTGATATCACTCACTTGGGTAATATTTCAAATGCCTTGCCTCATTTCAGACGTCGGGCGAACCCTGACATTTTTACACTGCCATTATATAAATGTTCTTTTAGATTTAACACATAAATTTTAATAAATAAATATCAAAAAATAATAATATTCAATAATTTTTAAATAAGATTGTATATTAAATAGTAGGGGTAGTCATATTAATTGAATTTCATGAGTTTAATAGAATACAATATATATCATCCTACCAGAGTTTAATTATTAATTTGTGGATATGACAATAGCACAGTAATAATTATCCATCACAGGACATTATGAAATACAGATTATTCATGGTGAACTAAAGCTTGTAAAATTAAGTAAACAACATACTCAATTGCTTGAAATGAATACAAAATAGATACGAATATATAAAATAAATAGCAAACATTCAACTGAAAATTTAATTGATCAATCATTAATATATAATCATTCTAATATATAATCATGAATTTATCTAAAAAAAGCCTTGTTTAAATGCAACACAAAATGAATTTGCTTACACCAATTGTACCATATTAGATGTCACATGACTGACTGTGGTCACATGATCAGGGGTTTGATGACGTAATGTCTCTGTTGCCCATTTCAATGATATAGTGAACAGCTGTTTACTTTTTTGATAAAATCACTGCCACATAGAATGTCAATTTGCATTATATTTAATATTTCAGCATCCACAGATTGTACATCAAATCAAAGAGGAATTACAGCGAGTAATAAAGATGGCAAAAACTGACAGAGGTGTCTACTAACAGTAACACTTACTATGTAAATCGACAGGACAGCCGGCTGGCTGGCTGGCTGGCTGGCTGACAAGCAAGAGCTGGTATTCAATTTTTAAGCCATAAATTCACCAGCAAGTTATTCAGTGGTGTCAGCACAATTGTTATTGATAGCTACTAAATCACTGTCCTTGATCATTTACTGGGCAAGATTTTGAAATATCTATGTCATTTCAGTGAATTGGTGAAACTACTGTAAAAGGATAAATTATTCACTGGGTTTTAATTTAGCTTATTTCGCTGATTGGAAAATGCGCTAAATTAAAAACCCACTCGATATGTAAAATTTAGCATAGAACACATTATCTAAATGATAAAACCGTGAATTTAAAACCCACTGAATATGCCTGAAATGCTAAATCAGTGAAATTTAAACCCAGTGAATATTAGTCATTTTACAGTATATTAACCAGTGTTCTCACTGGATATGAGTCAGAGACCTTCACCTATATTTTTACATTTTTGTCCCAGTTTTATTTCTCCCATGAGACAAACTGTCTTACGAAAATGTAAACACAAGTGACAATTTAAAGATGTAGAATAACAATTCAATGAAAAAAACACTGTTTTCATATTAAACATCTCATATTATGTCATTTTACAACAAACATTGAAAGGAAACCATGAAAAAAACTTACAAAATAAACACAAACCAGTCATAGTGCCAAGAACAAATACTAGTACATGTTAGAAGCACTACCGTACTATTAGTGACATCTTAGCATGAATGCTCCATGATTTGTAGAAACCCAAACACTACCACTCTTTGTGATTTGACCCTACTCAAAGTAATAGGCAGCAACGTGGTACAATAAATGTAATGTGACAGTTGCACTGAACAAAAGAGATTTCACAAATGTGTGCACATCTGACCTAAAATGACCCGAGTACAGTAATTTACCAAAGACACTAAAGAAAAGAGTGTCTTTGATTTTACATGTTCAGACAATAATGTACAGGTAAATATTTGTTGTCACATATAAATATAATATGCATGTTATGTAAAAATTTTACCATGAAGTACAGGTATATATTAAAAACTTTACAGTAACGAAAAATATATACATGTATACCATAATTACTCTATTAGAAGCACATATCCAATGGAAACACATGCATACAATTTATAAAACCAAATAACGCATTTGTCGTAAACTGATTGTTAAAGTAAGAACTATTTTTACATTAGCATCACCTCTGTAATTCACGTATAAAGCACAAATGATAATAATAGCCTGCAAATCAAGATAACTAAAATACAGTGTATTAAATCAAAAATGGTGTACAAGTGCACACATAATAACATTTCATAATTTATACTGCTGTACTAGTAGTCACCATTATCTAGTAGAAGTCAAAGTACAAGAATATGGTCAAGTTTGCTCATGATAAAACAATTTGTATGCAAAGACTTCATTAACAACACTGGTATTTCCAGTTCAAAAGCCAGCAAATTATGTCGGCTCACTGAAACTCACATTATGACAGCTCGGTTCAAATGTCCTTCATTGAACATGCATACATGTCTATGAATCATGCACCACAAAACAAAACACAATTTTAAGATTAATTTGTTAAACCATATAAAAACCTCTAGCATCTCGCTATTCTCTAAACCATAACAAATGAGAAAATCATCTGAAAAATTATTGCTTGTACCCAAATACCATGCTATAAATCCTATAAAAATTTAAAACACAGGTGAATGTACAGTTAGTAGCTAACCTATCTAAACATATCACAAACTAAAACCCATACAATAATAAAATATCCCAAGATATACAGGGGGGAACATTTCTAATCATATTTATTATAAATGAGATAATACTATACAGAGTATCGCCCACTTCTATATAAATATAATGACTCACTAGTACAAAGGCCAGGTAGTCAAGTGTATAAATATCATCAATCATATTTTTATGTTAAACCTACACAATATGATATAATTTCTACTTTTAAATTGATGACATGCAGTAATCATGTTGTCAGTAATTACAAAGTGACTATGATCTCAAAATGAAGTAGTATTCATAATCAGCTGTTCATAATAGAACTAAATATTATATTTTCTAATTTCAGAACCGAGGGCATAACATAAATGATAATCGTGTATTGATTTATTACTTATTAACAGACAAAGCGAGACAAGCTTCATGCAGGTGTTGTTGCTATGGTTCTGTATCTGCTATGATTCAAAGATGACCTTTTAATCATGGAAAGGCTTTATAATAGACCAGCTAATTATGTACAATCAGTCCAGAACAGGAAATTACTATGACAGTCACAGCAAAGCTAAATGCCTAAGTATCTTTACAATACCTGTGACCCGACCAATGAAAAATACTATAGTGATACTGAACTATCAAAAGTATCGTAAACAGTTTCTCCAGCAATATTATTCCCTACTGAATGCAGCAACAGATATACTAAATTGCACTAACAAATTCATATTAAGGGAATTATACCACTGGCGCCTAGGGACTGAAGTACTGAGCAATGTAACAAAATAATGTTGGCTCTATTATATTCTTTCATGGCCAATGGTCTATTTTCCTTATATTAATAAAACAATAAAATCTATTTTGACATCTTTTTTACAATGATCATAACATCCATGTCACGCATTTTTTTACAGAGTCCTTGACAAACATTAGGTATTTTTAAGTGTTATGTTACATCATTTTTAAATCATTAGTACATAGCACAAATTCCAAAAAAAATTGTAAACAACAATCTGGTCCACGCGAACTCCAATGTTGTCTAGAGCGGTAAACAACAAACCATTTCACAATGAGCACTGAGGGAGCATAGGAATTTTTCTGAACAAAGGACGTAAAAAACATTGTTCAATAATCTGTTTTGACACTAAAACAAAGGTGCCTTCTTTGTTGTACTAAGTGAAAAATAAAGAATGTGTCATTTTTAGTTTAATTGAATTAAACTATTAGCTAGTATATAAGCTGCTCGTGTACAGAGAAAGAATATTTATTTGACGAATGATCGCCGACATTTTGAAAAGAAAGCCACATTGCTGAATGAATATGTACATACGAGAAAGGATGGACAGAAAAGTAAAACTGTCCACCTCCACCGTGATAACACACCCCTTTTGTTTGTCTGCGAAATTATAGAATAAGGTAGGAAAATATGCCACACATGTATTATTATGATTTCCAGTGTAGCTGTATGATGGACACACGACAGGACACGAGCCATATCAACATGCTTACAGTCAGCGTTTACCGGCATACGTACGTGCACACTATGAATCACTCCACTGTCAGTGTCACACCGATATCCGCTAATAGTAAATTTCTTTGTTTTTACGTATGCCTATGCAGTTGAACATTAAATCACAATCGAACTGCAGTTTGAACTCTGCAGGATAGTCACAAACGAAAATACAACATTGTATTGATAAAAATATGGATGATTTCGGTCCACTCCATTGTGATTATAGACCAGAAATCAGCGAATGACGAAGCTGTCAATGACAGAAGCGTACAGTACACTACATACAAACAATTATACAACCATCTCTTTACGGTAAAACCAAAACAAACAGTTTCACCAATGGCTAACGAAAAACTAATCAAAACGGTCTAGCACATAACACCTCAGTGTACTTACCGTGTTTTTCTACGATTTCTACGAGCTATGTAGCACCCACAGCGTAAATGTCGCTGTCGTTTTATCAGCTTCATTTTCAAACCGACAACCTTGGCTCCGCCATTACAAATTATGCTAATGAGTTCCATTTGAGCCGGAAATGGACGACCCAAACCGAACCTTATCCGATTTCTCATTGCCACGTGATTAGTGAAAGTGTTATCGTAGAATGTACGTAGATTTTATCTTCCAGCGGTAAAACGAAGGCAGAAAACTTCTTCAACCAAGTACTATGTTTACAAGTATATAGCACTATTCAGAATTTTCTAGTAATGCTGTGATTATTAGTTTTTTTTTATTTTGAAACTTCATTCCATATACGCTAGCTCGTTTTAACTTTTGAACATATGGCTTTATTTTATGCTGTTCTGATAAAAAAAGTATTGTCACCGAAGTACTTTTCAGAAGAATGTGTCAAACACCCATGAAAATTGGGATTGTGAGCCATTCACCCGTTGACTCCTTTGATATATTTATATACTTATGGTTATGAATTGTTGGGGAATTATGGAGAATACTAATTTTGTTTTACTAGTAAATGGTCAAATGACAGTAGTTTCCATATTGCTCATTTGTGCATGTTTTCATATATTAGTAGTTTATATTATCAGCCACAAAATAAGTCCTACTGGGTAAAAGAAAGCTGGTAACTTGTGTAGAAATCAACAATATTGTAACGCATTCAATTGAATTAAAAAAAAAACTTCATATTTTGTGTTCATATTCAAAACTAAAAGACACGCAAATATGAATGAAACACCATATCTTGAAAACTACAACAACCCAGGTGTTGAGGGACTGTGGACAACCTAACTAGCGCTAAGTTTGCTGAGGGGCTGTATGTAGACCTGTATAGTATCCATAGTGGCAGTATAGAAAAGATTCGGCGCCGAGAATGTCTGAGTGGTTTCCTATTCAAATACCAGGATAATCAGTTTGACGAAGGGGGCTGCACTGGAGCCACCTCAGTGTAGCCATGGTTACTAAATGATCGTGATAGAGCTCAATGTTTACCCCCCTCCGACGAACCTATTGCATGCCTATGGTTATATCAATGCCAACGGAAGACCAAACAATAGACGGTTCTACTTTTCCGAACAATAGACTGAAAACCATTTCCTCGAATGCAAATTACCCTGTCCGATAAATCGTTGCTTCAGTTTTTTTTTTTAATGCAACCATGTCCGTTCAACCCCCACCGCTATGACGCAGTGAATATTGATACACTGTTGCCGGATCGTACCCGATGACGACAAAGCTAAAACAAGGAACTTTAGTCGGTTAGGGCATGGAGGTAAAAAGAGAAAAACCTCCATGGTTAGGATATTCCACGAGACGTACTCCATGAGAAGATAACAATCCCTCAAACTTCTTCAAATTACCCTCTGGTACTCTACAAGCATTATATCACCGTATTGTGTTTTACTAGTAATATTTTATTTTATGCTGTCAACTAATGGAAATATTTTATAAGGAAATATAATCATCTTACGGGAAAAAAACAAAAAAACGTCGAGGTTTTCTCCAGAAAAAAAGTGGTGACGGCACCGAGGGGCCAAAACAAAACTTACGCTGAAACCCTTTGTGTCAGCAAAATTTGCCCCTCAAAATACAGGAACTAGCGTTTTAGATGGTCTAGATTACAGATCCCGCCCCTCATGCAAAATGTCGTGCCGCCTCTGAAAAATATACCTCCACAACACCTCGGACAGGCAACCTCCATGATAAATCAATGTACACGACATAAATCGTTGTGCCAACGACCTCGGTTGTCCCGATCACACCTTAAAGTGGTCAAATGGCGACCTATTTATTACCGACATTTTGACACCTGACACGACCAAAAAGGTGCAAAGCAGGAAACGACTCAAAGCCGGGGGCATAATGGCGGGACTGAAGTTTGGAATTTTTGCGACAATAACAATTGGCATACTAGTACATAAACGGCGAGTTGATTGAATGCCCACTTCACAATGTTGTACAAAAACAGCTATTATAATCGAAATCACAATGTAGATCAATATATCGACAAACTCACCGTCTAACCAGTATTACCGTAATTGGTAAAGATAAGAAAAGATAATTCTTTATTATTTAACAATACATTTCTAGTTTGAGTAAAAAATGTAATAAAGATACATTTTTGTTAAACGAAAAGTTTGATAATGATAAAATCATTCAAGAAATGGTTTTCTGATTGTTATTGCTGTTTTAATATAGTTTATTAGTTTTATTAGTAATAGTTTTTTGTTTGTGTAACTATATGAATAAACTTTTGAATTGTATTGAGGTGTTTGAGAATTGCTTTTGAGAAAATTGAGTACAATGCTTTTCTTTGTTCAGTGAACAGTTTGCATAAAACGTATCTCATCTTCAATTTCATTGCATTTTCTTCGGTCTAATTCATTTTTTTTTGGTCTCTGATGGCGTCTTGTTGAGAATATTCAGCCTATGAGAACTTAATCTGAGTTTAGATAGTAGTCCAATATCTGTTTGTTGTTTCCTGGTACATTAAAGTGAATTTTTTTATTTTTTATTTTAGCAGTTTGAAAGTTTTGAATCTTGGCCTTGATTGTTAGGGTTTCATTTTTGAATGTGGTACTCATATGCTTTATGCTTAAAAAAAATGTTAGTATTTTTTTCAGTTTATGTGTAATGATATAATTTTGTAGTAAGCTAACATTTTTTTTAATAAGGAAACAAGTAGACAACATCAATACATCAACCGTTGGATACATAGCAATAACTTTAAACGACTAAGTTTTACGAAAACGTATCGAGCTACAATAAGCCCTGTCGTGGACCGGATGATAACAGTAAATATAAGACACAATACAAGTATTTACATATTATTATTATTATTATTATTATTATTATTATTATTATTATTATTATTATTATTATTATTATTATTATTATTATTATTATTATTATTATTATTATTATTATTATTACTATTAGTATTATTACTATTAGTATTATTATTATTACTATTAGTATTATTATTATTACTATTATTACAATTACTGATAGATATTCATATAAAGTCCCTGATGAGGTGCACCATCCCACAATAACAGTCCATAACGCTTATGCAATATCTTGAAACATGAAATTGGTAATTCAATGTGCATAAGACCTTATACATATACTTCACATGGAACTCGTATCAAACACGACACATCGCCATGACTACTGCCTACTAGTGTTTAAGGCAGTTGATTACCATGGAAACAAATGATCAGATTTTCTCGACGTTTAAAACATGGTTTTATTTTATGTTCACAATACCAAGATAAAGTATATATTCATCAATTTTATGAAACCACTTTTCGCAAAAAACAACAGGTTAAGAAGTATCTATGAAAATGGTGATTTTTGAGCCCTTTACCATTGGTTTCTACGGTAACACGTTCTCACTAAAACTATAAATTTCATTTGTTTACATATGGCGAAAAATAATATGTAGTTATAAGATGGGTATACTTATGATTGTCAAGAACTATTAGGACATTTTGTTATCATGATTTTTTTTGCTTTCAACATGAAAATCATTCCATTTTATATTCCCGTAATAAATATTTATAATGTCTATTTTAAACATGCAAAAGTTGTTGATCCTAAATAATACTTCAACGTCGTGTGAACCAAATGTACGTACGTGATGTCATTATTGTAACATGTGTGTCAAAATCAATAAATATGAGGAGGTTTTAAAACAAGAAATTGTAATGATACGTTGCCCCTAATCAGTAGGTCGAATACCCGCAATATATGTTAAAATGTTTAGGGTGTGGTCGAATACACCTAAAGAGATCGTTTTTATTTATCTCAGTAGATAATTGTAATAGATAATTATATACTAGTATTTGGACTTACGACCGCGCCCATTGTGCCTTGATACGTGACTTAGTTCAACTTATTGGACAATCACATCAGTGTTCCCTCTGACCCGGCACAGCAACTATAAATAACTCGAGTCGATAGTTGTCTGAACTCCCGCTGCCCTAATTCATTGTCACAGAAAACATGCATTACTCGTTTGTTTAAATTAAATATTGTTTTATTCGAACACATTAATTTTTGACAGCTGCATGACCTGGCATATTTATTCCTTTTATTTTCTTATTGTTAATTGTGTTTCACTTGCATATAAAAACACGTCTTAAGAGTGTAGCACATGACCCTCATCAGTTAACAATTATGCAAAATATTAGGATCATTTACTTTCAAAATTATCGCGATTTTGCAAATGTTCATAGAATAAGCTCATTACAGGAACTGTGTCTGAATTCGTATAAACTGCGCCCGCTAGCGACTGAGCCTTTCTTTGATGTAAATTGGTGGAAGAGAGGCCATTCACAATGTTGGTAATGTTTTGATTTTTAGTTTTCCGTTAATAAGGAAATGATTTCTGGAAAATTTAAAAGGTCAAAAATGGTAAAATTTCTAAATGGTCAAAGATTACATAACTAAACAAAGTTGTCTATGAGAACGATATTTTTTTTACTTGTATCCTCGGGGGCGGAGCTACGTCACGGACGTTATACGTTGCTAAGACGCGCACCACTGTACCACGTATTTCTATGGGCTCTGTGCGCGCTGCTGTGGAACGCCGGTGGAGTCGGTGAAAACTCGAGAAAACAACACAAACTCAACTTTGAAGTAATCCTGAACAACCAAAGTCATATATGTTACACACGTAGGGCTAATCTTGTTACACTGTTCAGGGGACTCTCAACAACCATTGCAAAGTATCGTTTTCTGCGAGTTTTTGGTCTTTGTTTTCACCGCGAGGGTTGCCAGGCGGTAGAAAATGCCCGGATGTCCGCCCCGAGAATTTGTTCGTTGAAGAAGGAACACATACATGTATATGTTATAACAAACGCTATACACTTGTCTAGGTATCCGAAAATACAACACAAACACAACTTAGAATACTTACACGAAAGTAGCTTCTTTTACTTTATTCTGTACATATATTGTTTGTTCGGGTAAGTGTTGAAAATATCAATGCTGTATATAATTTTATTACCACGAAGTTAGTAAACGTTAAGTTTCA